AGTTCATAGCATCTAATGTCAAGTTGTATGACCTCATATCTTCAACTGTAGAATATTCTTCTCTTGGATAATATTTGCCATCTATGTTTATATGATATTTAATACCGGGGTGTAGAAACAAGAATAGTCATTTATAGTTCGTCTGAACAGTACAAACATAGTATCTGCATGTTTCATTGCAGTTGTTAAAGCAATATCTGTTCTTGCACCTGGGTCAGCACTTTGGTTTCCAACTTCACCTGCAAAGTCTTTGACAGATATTTGGTGTATAGGAACATAAGTGGAACTGCAATATATTTGGCAGCTAAAGCATTTGAAATATCTGGGTCCAACATATAGACTGCAAGTCTGCTTTCTATTCTCTTGCATTCAAATTTTTCGCATGTGAACTTAACTGGGTCCAAGCAGTTCCAGCAGCATTGAAATAATAGTTTACTTCAGTGTTGAGGTTTGAGAAACCAAAGTCTAAGTCAACTTTGTCTTTGCAAAAGTCGGCGAATGACGTTTGATTTGCTCCCTTTACGTCTGTAGAGTGAATGGGTCTTGTGTTGGTGCAATGACTAAGTTATTTTTGCTTGGAGTAAGTTCGATAGAATTTTTCCTGCCCAGTTTGGCAAGTATCTTAAAAACCTGAAAGATGAGGAAAGATGACAAAAGGAACTCTAAGTTTCAATTTTACTTTGGTTACTGCTGCTGCAGTTTGTCCAGAAAGGTTAACATAAACTCCTGGAACGTTAGGGTCAAGTCTTCTTATTTTCTCAATAGTTGCATACTGGTCTGTTTTGTTCTCTAGCTTGTGGTTGTACTGAGTTTCTCAAAGCGAACCATTCATAGTTTGCCCATGTTACTGTTTGAACTAAGTCAGAGTTAGAATATATCTTATATCCCATGAAAACTTCTGGAGCATATTGGTATCCGACATAGAAAATTCCATTGCAACCTTTCTTGTCAGACAACTTGGCAGAAGGTTTTATTTCAATGTCTTGTTCCACGTATAAGAATGAGTTGTCAATAGAAATATATGAAACCTGTCGCAAGCAATATCTACTGTTGTTGAAGAACCTTCTCCAAACTCACCTACGTTTCCATAAGAAACAGCAGTTGTATATTCGTAAGTTCCAGGAACTATTTCTGACCTTCTAATGGCATTGTCGCATTCGTTATACCATTCGGAAACATTTCCATTCATGGCATCCAAAACTGTTGGCGTTATATTCTGAGCGGCGTACATTTCATATGGGTAAAAATATAGAATAGTTGGATTTATATGTCATAATAGAACCCACGTGGACCAAGCTTTACTTTCTTCCTGACTGAGTTTTTAACTCTTCTTTTTCCTTCATTGCCACTACTTTCACTAGATGAAGTTACTTCTTCACTACTTTCACTTTGTTCTACTCTTCTCTTCTTCTTTGGTGTCGCTTTTGGTAACTTGCCCTCTGCTTCAAGTTGTTGCATCTTTGCCTCATGTTCACCTAGTATGTTGTAAATTTCCCATGTCCTTTTTGCCTTTGGGCTCTGGTCGCCCATCTCAGGTAACCTATATCCTAGAAAGATTTTGTCATAGTTTGTATTTGAGTCTTCGCGTATTGTTTGCATGACTCTTTCCTGAGTTTCCGGTTCAAGCTCTTCAAACAGAGCTTGTCCATATGGAATAAGCTCGTTTCCAAATATATGTTTTTGTAGCCATTCTGGTTTTCTTTCCATGTTACCAATAATATCTTTTGTGAATGGGAAAGCTTTTACCCAATGTTTCAGTCTTGCGTCATTTATTTCTGTAGTTGGTTTTATTTTGTCAAGGAACATGTTTTTCAATACTAACATTTCATTTGGTACTGTCCATTTGAGTTTTCTTAAATATTCATCCCTTCTCGGTTCATTGTCTGCAAAGTAAGTTTTTATGACATTTTGCAAACTTTCGTTTGCAAGGTCATGTACAATAGGTTCTCTTCCTTCTCTCTCCCTAACTTTCTTTCTAAACTCTTCACCAAATATACCATCTCTATGGTTCTGTGTAGTTCTTTGAGATAAATGTTCTAGAACGTCAGGTGTTATATTTCCATCAGCCATGTTCATTTCATACTGGTCCAAAATATCTGCATCTTTCATATCTTTCAATGGCATTAAAGCCGCGCTGAAAATACCAGCTATATCTGGTTCACCATTCACTTCCATTGCGTCTACAACTTCTTGGAATTGTGGTTGTAAGTTTATGAACCACCTATCCGGATTAGCTTTATGACCCCATCTCATTGTAGTTCCATAGTCTGCAGAAACAAAAGTAGGTTTGTTTCCATATTGGTTAGGTTCTGAATGAACTTTAAACAATGTTTCATTTCTATATGTTTTGTTGAAATTTAACCTTTTATTTTCACCGAGTTCAGCCAAAGATTGAACGTTATATGGTCGTAAGTAAAAAGGATTATTGTATTTGCGTACATTTTCTTTCAGTACTTCCATTCTATGCTGAATATTTTCATCTGATGTTGGAGTCTTTTGTATGTCGGCAAACATTTTTCGATATTCTTCTACTATGTCAGCCGAATTTTTCTTAGACTCTTGGAAAGATTCCATATTCACCTCATACTCTTGTTGAGGGTCAAGATTTTTCGGCTGTTCCAAATCTTCATCTAGTTCTGTGAAGTTAGTTTCCAAAGGAGGGACTTGTTCGTTTCCTTCAGGCTCTTCTAGCTGTTGTTGCTGAACTATTTCTTCCATGTCTGGTTGTATCTGAACTTCTTCCTGTGGAGTTTCTTGTACCTCATCTGCTGGCATTTCATATATTCCGAGACCGTTTTTAACAAGTTCCCTCTAAGTCATCCGGACTCATAAACCTTTCTTCTTTCGTTCCGTCTCTATTTTTTACGCGTTTCATGAAGAGAGTTGAATTATCATTTAGCTCTGACACCAAATATCTCGGAGTAAATTCATCATGTCATTTGGATGATATGCTATTAAATCATATCCCTTAGCGAGCTTGTATTTTCCAGGTTTGAAATTATATCCCATTTGGTGCTGAACCATAAAGCTAAATAGGTTCGGGTCAGTATTTCCTTCCTTGAACTTTCTAATAGCTTCTTTATATCTGTCACTAAAGTCAAGAGTATCTGGGTAACCATAATCTTCCTTAAGCATTTTTAAGAATTCTTGGTTTCCTTGTTCTCTACTTCTTTTATGTCCTTGCTCTGTTTGTGTTGTTGTTGTGCTGGATTTTGAACTGTTGGTTGTTGTGTTGGTTTTGGTGCATGCCTGTGTCTGTGTCCATGTGACGATGTAAATGTTTTAGGTAGTCCTGGTGCAGGTGCTTCTCTTGGAGGGTTTGGTGGTATATAAGTTCCACTAGCTAGTATATAAGTTCCACCAGCTGGTATATAAGTTCCACCAGCTGGCACATATGTTCCATCTGCAGCATAATGTCCTACCTGACTTTTCGTTTTTAAGAAAGCATTTACTAGGTCTGTTTTGGTCTGTTGTAACTCTTTTTCTTGACTTTCCACAACAGTTGCTCTAACGGCGTCATAGGCACTTTGAACTGCCTGTCTCGTTGCTGCATCTGTTATTTTCGTCATATTTTGTGCTACTTCTCTTAACTCTTTGTCGAAACCTTCAGACTTCAGTTTCTTTCCAGATGAGAAGTCGTTCACTAGTTTCACCTTACTATGAAGAGCTTCGAAGGCGTTCTTAAAGTCAGCATTTTAAAGCTTCATTTGAACTGTCTTCATCCGCTTGTATTTTTGTCCTTATTGACCCTATAAGTTGGGCTGCTTTAGCGTTGGCTTGGGCATCTAACCAGTCATTGTTAGCTTTTATATATTCTGCGCTTTTCATTGCCTTTTGCATGGCTGCGTCGTTATTTTTACTTTCTTGTGCTAAGTTTTCATACTGTACGGTTTGGTTTTGCAACTGTAAAAGTTTTTCTGCCTTTACATTTGCTTCAACTTCTTTTTTATACTCATCGCTATCCATATATGTCTTCAGGGCTTTTTGTTTTATCTCTTCATCTTTCAGTACTTTATATTGAGTAGTATGGTTTTTCAAATTTATAACATCTTGTTCCATTTTTGCTACTTCTGCTGCTTTTTCTGACACTTTTTTCGCATATTCCTCTGTACTTAGTTCTTTCAGTTGTTCTTCTTTCTTCTTTTTCTCTACGTTTAACTCATTGAGTTTCTTTGTGTGTCTGTCATATTCTAGTTTCTTTTCGTTTTCACTTATTTGTTCTGTATGTCTATGTTTGACTTTTTGACATCTGTTATTTGATTTTTGAGTGAACTCAAATTCATTTGACTTTGAGGGTTATAAGCTGTTCCGTCTGCAGCTCCACCATAGCCTGCCATTTTCGCTAAAAGTGCCGCTCTTAAACCTCCACTCTGTGCACCAAAACTCGGTTTAAAAGCATAGGGTTGCTTGACATTTGTTGCAACATAGTGGGGTCATTCATCATTTGTTGTTGCAACTGTTGTTGTGGTGTCAGTTTTACTATTGGATGTTTCAATGCTCTCTTCCTCTTACGTATATTCTTACGTAGCTTACGTGGCATTTTAAGTGAAGTTAAAAAGCGGTTTTTGACAGATGTTTATATGACACTTTTTGTTCAGCACAAAAAACTACTCGGTCAAAGTGTTGTCAGTTTTGTAAAATAACCGTCCTATCTCATTCTATAAGGGGGAAAGTCTTCTCAAAGTATACTTCCTTGGAACGCCTGTAACTTTTCCTGTAGCGACGATAGACCCTTACTTGTCCGGACAAAGTTATACTATTTTGAGTGCTCTACAAAAAAGTCAACGGCGACGACTCTCAAAAACCGTTGTGTAAAAAGTTTTACCGTTGGACAAAAAAGTATATATAGAAAACAAAAAACGTTTATAGTTCATTCAATATTTGAGATGGAACGGTTTGCCAACGGAGACTTTTCAATAAAATAAAAAAATAGAGGGGGTTACCGTTGACAAAACGTTTATTTCAAACTTTTCTTATTTGAAAAAAGTTTATTTTTCATAATGGAAGGAAGAAAAAGTGTCGCAAACAATTCCTCGACTACCTCTGCAGTTAAAGTTCCTACAACTTATGTCTCACCATTCTCAAAACCCTTACGACCTCCTATAATACCAAAGCAACTTCCTCATACAATTGCAAACAAATTGTTGGACAATATGCATTTGCACAAAGAAACAGCTCAGCCAACAGGTCAGGCAACAACAACTATCGGAACAGAAGCATTTTCAGAAGAAGTTCATACCAATCAGACTCCAATCGAACATACAGAAACACAACCACCCGAAAATACAGAAACACATCCAATCGAACATACAGAAACACATTCTGCAATGACCACTAGGTCGCAAACACGATATCTCGCCTTTTGCAAACAATTTAAGTCTCAAATTCAAGACACACAAGATAGCGACACTCCTCTTTCAGAGAAAGTTCGTAGAAAATACGCAAAGAAAAGGTTAGAATTGTTAGATAAGTTAAATGAACAGTGGGGTTCAGAAGACAATCGAGATTATAACGAGATGTTTCAAGCTGTCATGGATGCCATTCAGCCACTTGAAAACGAAATCAAAGACCCTGGCGTACTTGTTGACATGTTTGCTTCATATTTACCCGTTACTGCCAATCTCATAGCGTTGCAAGCTATTGACCAGTTCATTCACTTGTTTCCAAAGAACTTGCAGAAGCATTTACAAGAAGTTAAAGTTGCTGAATTTGTCCGTTTATATCCAAATTCATACAATTATTTGGAAGAATTGAATGAACATGGTGAAAGGTCATTCTATTTATATTTCTACACAAAAGACAACCAGTCAAAACGACTATACTGCATTGAACCTATGCCTCAATTCGTAGACAATTTCCACGTTATAACAACTGTTGCTTTAGATATTCCTGCCAGAGTTCCATATGGAGGAACAGTAACTATCTCAAGCTTTCCCAAGGGCTATAAAGGAAAGCCTCTCACAATTGCAAAATTCACACACAGCAGTTGCCAATTTGTTCAAGATGTCGAGTTCCATTTCCTCAACAATACGACTTTCATCATAGAGACTCCTCAAGAAGGTATATACAAAGTTTTCATTGCAGGATTTGTTGCTCCCAATGGCGAAGAAGAAGAAGTCGAAGAAGAAGTCGAAGAAATCCTCACCTCAGAGAGCGAAGAAGAAGAAAATTTCCAAGACATTCAAGATTCAGAATATACCGAATAAAAAAAAACAATTTAAGACTAAAAATTTAATTTTATTATAATATTTTTATTTTTTTCATCTGGTCTTTGTATCATTCCTCCTCTAGTTTCTTAGGGGCTAGAAGGGGCGCAGCCCCTGGAAGCCCCACTCACCTGACCTACATATATAAATATATACATATATAAATATATACATATATAAATATATACATATATAAATATATACATATATAAATATATACATATATAAATATATACATATATAAATATATACATATATAAATATATACATATATAAATATATACATATATAAATATATACATATATAAATATATACATATATAAATATATACATATATAAATATATACATATATAAATATATACATATATAAATATATACATAAATAAATATATACATATATAAATATATACATATATAAATATATACATATATAAATATATACATATATAAATATATACATATATAAATATATACATATATAAATATATACATATATAAATATATATATATAAATATATAAATAACAAAATACAATCAAAAATAGTGTTTGGAAATTTAAGGTTAAGTGTCACTTTTTCGTAAATTCTACCACACTCTGAGGGTTCGGGGATCAATAATGTATATATTGTCCCCCATTGTCCATACCAAAATGGGAAAATCGAGCACTTGTGGCCTAACATAGAGAGCAGAGAGTTGTCATGGGCAAAGATTCAACAATGGGTTGAGTACTATAATGCTAAACCTCATCTAGCATTACCAACTCATTATGTGAATGGAAAACAAATTCACTATAGCCCATCTGAAATGTGGAAGAAACATCCAATTTGGAAGAGGGGAATGCCGGCAAAATGGATTGTGGATGGAGTCTCTCAAGATTTTCTTCCAGGTTCACTTATGGCCAATGAGATGCCAGAGCTTCAAGGAATCGAAGAAGATGAATGGGAAAAAGAAGGCGAGGAAGTTGAAGAAGAAGAAAATAAGGCGAATCCGGTTGAAATAGAAGAAGATAGTAATGAAGAAGAATACGAAGTAAATTATGAAGAAGAATATCAAGAAGATTATGAAGACCCTTATGAAGAAGATTATGATGATTCATTTTAATATTACGAATAAAATGTCACTTTTCTATTTTTGACACGCAAAGTTGTCACTTTTTTCTGTCAAACCGTTTTTATCGTTTTCGTATATAACACTATCATATATGCTTATATTCTATAATAGTGTTACCAAACATCGGGCAACATCATACGTATAATACAACTTTTTCGTACTTCTTTATCGAATTTAAATAGAACTAAGTTTTTATTTTATATAAAAGAGAAATAATTCTAATTTATAATCTCATTATTAATTTATTCTCATTTTAATATTTCATCGATTTTTTATTATCGATATTCAATACAAATAAATTCATATTATAATAGTATCTAGTATAACTAGGTATTCTATCACAGTATTTCTTCAATTTATTATAATATTTCAGCATTTTTTAGTTTCAATGCTGATTTGTTCCTTAGCTTGTAAACTATAGTTACTTTATATTAGACGTAACTTAGACGTAAAAAAATTAAATAACGTATAAATATAATTTTAATGGTAAAAGATTAAATGTTTATTCCGTATGTAATGTGATTTGATTTGGATGGTAAGATAAGTTTCGGTATAGTTTTTGTTAATTGATTAAGAATTGTTGAATAAAATTCTGGAACTTCGTCAATTTCTTTGATTCCCTCTTCCTCGCAATACAACTCCATATCATTAACTTGTATTTAAAGGCTTCCATATACAAAACTATATATAATGTTTGAAAGTTAAATCCAATCTTTTTCTATTTCTAAAAAAAATTGAGACCTAAACACGAGATAGCTTTCAGAAAATTTTCAGGGACATTTTTAATCATTTTTTTATTTATTGTAATATCTTTGTTATTAAATTTGAATTGTTTAATATTTGAATGTAAAGAATTGAATAGTAATAATTTTAGTTTTAATACATAGCTAATTGCTAAGCAAAATAATTAATTTATTGTAATTTTGACATGTAAACTAAAGGGGAATTTAGCCGGCCAAATATATGTTACTTTTTGACTTCACCTCACTCCCACCATTTCGTCTTATGACTGTTGCAAACGAAAATGATAAAAACGGTTTGACAGAAAAGTGACAACTTTATATGTCAAAATAGAAAAGTGACATTTATTCGGAATACATTTTTTTTCAATTTCATCTTCTTCACAACTTTCTTCTTCGTATGGGCTTTCATAGTCATCACATTCTAAAATTTCTTCTTCATATATCTCTTCTTCTTCACATTTTTCTTCTTCGTGCTTCTCTTCTTCTTCACACTTTTCTTCTTCGCTTCTCTCTTCTTCTTCTCCACATTCTAACTCTGGAATATCTTTAGCTTGAACAGAACCTGGCAAAAATGTTGTATACAAATATTTGAATACATTTGCCTGTTAGCGAAACAAGGATTTGTACCTTCCCACAGTTCTTCTTATTTTTTGCTTTATATGTTGCTTTTTATTGATTTTTGTCCAATGGCCGATAATACTTAATTGTTGAAATGTCAATTGCCCCTACCGTATCATATTGTTCTAATTTTTTTAATGATGATGCGACACCTTGATCAAATAGTTGCAAAACATGCATGCAATGTGCAGGAAATATCAAAATATTGATGTTTTGTAACATTAATTATTCAAATACCCAAAATGATAAACGTGAACTATGATCATCAAGTATAAGGTAGACAGTTGAACTTGAAATGTTCTGATACTTGGAACAAAGTTCTTAAAAATTCAAGTGTATTATCAAATAATTGTGCTAATCTCGTAAACGAAAAAGAGGATTTGACGCAGTCAAATTCCCTCTCTCAAAATGGGCAACAAAAAGTGACAGAAAAAGTAACACTTATGGCGGGAAAATTCGGGAAAAAACTTTAACCTTAAACTTAGAAATGTAGAGATTTGTTAAAAATTTCTTAAACGAATGAATGTTATATAATTTTATATAATTAAATTTGAGTATGCAAAACATTATTATGTAATAAGAAAAAATTGAGTTTGACATATCAAATAAAGGGTAAGAGGTATATATTATAAATATATGCCTCTCATTTACAGATTTTAATCATAATATTCAATTTCTCTAGCATGTGTATTATGTGATTATTCAAAAAACTTTTAAATATATAAAAATTAATTTTTATTAAATTATTTAATGTCTTGTATTTCGATTTTTCCTTCTGAAGTTAGCGAGATCCTCTTTTAGGTCGCGCTCTTCGTGTTCGACGATCCATTTCGGATTTTCTTTGTCTTCAACGAGATTCCAAAAGTTATTTTTTTCATGAATGAGGAATTCTCGTGGAGTAAAGTTTGTGTTTGTGTTTAAGTTCTTTGGTAATTGCGAATGTGGCTTGTTGTTGTAAAAGTTGATCCAAATTATAACATCCGACTCGCTACTTGAGTGTTTTTCGATATCAGGCCATATACCCTCGACCTTTCCATTTTCGCGAGGCGAATATGGAGTGATTGTTATATGTTCAATTTGATTTCGATCAAGAAAATTTTGAAATTCTCCAAAATTTTCGAGACCATTATCGGTCCAAAATGCAAAAGGTGCAAAACCTAATGCATTAATTGCTCTTTGTGCAACAAAAGTTGTATTAATCTTTGAAACATGGAAATAAAATTGAATTGATCTCGACAATAATATCTTATATAAAAATTTAGTCTGATACGATTGTTAAGATTTTCGGGATATATTAAAATCTAGATGGATATCGCTATATGTCTAAAATTGAAGGACTAAATAGAGTTTTCCTAGCAAGTTTGCACATTTCATGAATCATAGAGAGAATGATTTGAGAAAGACATATACGTTAGCCACTATTTTTCATACACTTTTAGTTTCGGGAAAAGTGACTAATATATTTTGAATATATAATTAACAGTTAACTCAAAATTCAAAAAAAGTACTCCGGTACATTTGTTATTATTCAGTTATAGATCACTGATACAAATGTCTTATGTCATTAAAATCAAAAATGAAGGACTAGATATATATTTAATATGAAAAATAGAAAAGTATTTATTTAAATATTGGAATTGCTATCAAGCTCTGCATAACTAGGATATATGCATTAGCTAAGGCTGTATCAATATCCTTTATCATAATTCAAAAAATATTTCCACAGTATCAAGATAACTCGATTTTTTTATACAATTATAAACTATTCAAACTTACCCCCTTAAAGGGTGAAATTCTGAAGTTTACATTTCATCCTTAAAGCTCCAGACCCAACCTCTCAAGGGTCATTTCCATTTTTTTTCCATCGTTCAAAAAATTTCCAAATTTTTCTGCCGAAAATAGTTTTTCGACATTGGATATATCTGGAGCCATATTCACAGCGGCATTTGTCTTAACCTTGTGTAAATGAGCAACTATTCGTTTTTTGCGGGTGTTGACTGTTTATATGACCTATTAAATTTTGAGATTAGGGGAAACAGGTTTAAGATTTAAGGGATGGATAAGGTTTGTCTTTGCTAGTATGGTTGAGATATTCGTATGGTTAAATAAGATTTGTGAGTGAAGAATTTGATTTGCATCAAAGTGTAAGAATGTGTAAGATATGTGTTTTATTTGTGCATATTGGTTATATGGGTGTGCGAAAGATGGGGTAAGTGTGGTAATGATATATAGACAAAGATTTAGAAAGTTAGGAAGTGAATTTAAAGCAGAGAGACCGGAAAGGGAGTACTTTCTCAAGGTCAGGGCCCCTTCTAGTCTTTCTAGTGCCGGAAGGAGCGCTTCTGACCGGTCTGGGCGCTCCTTCCGGCATCATCTTTGCATTTCCCAAATGTCGCTGCAAGTGCATTCTGGCACCGCAGGTGCACTTACCGCGACTTACAATTGCGAGTGTCGCCTGCTCAGCCCCGGATTGGGAGCGTGGGACTGGAGCCTTAAAGCACAGTTTCCTCAACATTATTATTTGATATGACACAATTCAATTATCATTTTGACAATACCATCTCTAGTTTTATTAAATGAGTTGAATTTTGACTTCGAAGCAAAATAATAAAAAAAATTCATACTTTCATATTACATAAATAATTAACAATACTATTTGTGGCTATAAGCTTACTTTCTATATGTGCATTTTTTGATATTAAGATAAATCAAATTCAAAGATCAAATATGCTAAAATCACTTCTAACATAATCAAAAAATAAATCAGAATTATAATATAGAGATAAAATTTTTTGAATGTTTTTTGAAAATTTTCAAAAACGCGATCACTTATTTTTCAAATAATTCAATATTGAAAGCATAAATAGAAAATTTGTCTCTATCATTTATTTAGAACTATTTATAGTTTCTGTCTAAAAAAAAAAAAAAAAAAAAAAAAAAGGTATTGGGGCTTCCAGGCACTTCGTGCCCTCTAGCCCTGAAGATGTTTAGTATAAATGAAGTTTTTATTCGGAGGGCTTCCAGGAGCTTTTCACAAATTATATATGTTTTCATGTTTTGTCACTTTTCTGTCACTTTTCGGGTAAAAACATTTTTATTATTATATATAAATGAATTTTACAAAACCACCGTTACCGTTCTTTGGAAATAAGAGTAAATGTAAAGATATTATATTGAGAGAACTTAAGAAACTACCGAATGGTCTAACATTTGTAGATTTGTTCGGTGGAAGTTTCTATATATCCCATTTGTGCCATACTGTATTTCCTGACTCAAAGATTATATGCAATGACTTCGACAACTATATGAACCGTCTCAAACATATACCAGACACAAACAAAATATTGAAAGAGTTAAAAGAAAAGATACCTATAGGTAAGATGGAACGTATACCATTAGATAACAAAAATATTGTGAGAGAGGTTTTGAAAAAAGCAGAATATATAGACTGGGATAGTATATCTGCTAGACTATTATATAGTGGTGCTATAAGAGTTCATGACATTGAAACACTTATGTCAAAAGTTTTATATCTTAACTATACAAATGTTTTCAAAGAGGACATAGAAAAATATATTGAGGGTATAGAGTTTGTGAGATGTCATTGGACAGAGTTGTATGAAAAATATAAAGACAAGGAAAATGTTTTCTTTATAGTGGACCGCCGTTCTATAACACATGGGATTTTCAATACCAAGTAGACTGGACTTTGAGAGACTCTTTAGAAACTTTAGACGTTTTACATAACCATCCATGCTTTTACTTTACATCCGATAAAAGTGGTTTGGAAAGTGTCATGAGATGGTTAGAGGACATACATGACTATGAGTTTAGATACGATAAGATAGAATATGAGAGAGGTCCTATAAACTGGAGAAAGTGTCATAACAAAGAAATTTTACTAGTAAGTAAATGTGGTTTGAAATAGGACTACTTGTTTTAGGTTTTTTCCATTGTGTCATTTACTTATTTGACGTGGCAGAAAGATATAGAGAATATGAAGATGAACCAATGCCTGCAAATGTTCAGTATATGTACTCGTAAGAGATATTTTATCTAATATTAAATGGACGCACAGAACTTAGCGAATGCACAGCAACCTGGACAACCAAACCCAGAGAATATTCCAAATGAAGTTAGAATACAAACTGCAATGGCAAACTATGGTCAAGTGCCAACAGATGTACAAATGCAAACTGCCATGTCAAATGACGCTGCGTTAGGTTTGCCACCATGGTATGCAAATATGAGATGGAAAGAGTTTTATACAAACCCCGAAGTGGGATATAAACAACTCTATGCAGATGACGCGAACACAGGAGTTGACCCAGAATATGTTTTCTACCAGAGGAGAAACAGAATGTATGAGCTCCAGTTAAAGAATGCTATGGAACTCAACAGGAAACGTAAGAGACTAGGCGGACATTAGATTTTTACATATAGTAAAATGGGTTTCTTCAGTAAGATAGGAAACTTCTTTCGAAATGTTGGAAGAGGTATATGGAATGGAATAAAATCTGTCGGAAGAGGAATTTGGAACGGTGTCAAAAATATTGGTAAAAGGGTAGGTCAGTTCGTTGGTATTATACCTAAAGACCCTGAACCAGAAGAACAAGCCCCTGTTATACAACAGCCTGAACCTGCACCACAGTCTAGTTGGCAACCAAATCCAACACCTCAACCGTATTAAAAAATTATATTTTTACCGTTCGATAGTAGTTGTATATGAAACTAAGTTCTAAGTAAAACGCATGGTATAATGGAACTATTCTCTTTCTTCCATCTGTTGTAAACCATACTTGAAAGTCTGAAATACTTCCACTCGGCGGTTCATATAGCTTTGTAGGTTTTTCGTAAAAGTCATTTGCCAAGCATAAAAAAGAGTTTTGTGCACCAGAAAATGAAGCATGAACTATAATAGCAGCTGGGTCGAAAACATCTTTAAATAAATATGGTTCATCTCTTGCATATCGACTGTAAATATTTGCTAAAGGAAGTTCGACTTTCTGATTTAACATTCTTTGCAAATAATACCATGACATTGCAGTGAATTCTGTATATATTTGTTCGTCTTTCTTTGGATTGTCTTCGTAGATTTGAAATGACACTTGTGAATTTTGTTTGTCATATACAATTCTCACATAAAGTGTGCTCTCGGTATTTGCATATTCATCAGCATATTTTGCATAACATGAATTTATTTTATCTTCTATATTTTTTAACGCAGTCTGTAGAGAAGATGAAAGGTCAACTTGTATTAGCTCAATTTCTTCCCACATTTTTCGTTTCCCTTCAGATATATAATCTATATGAAACCTTACAATAAATGGAAAACTTTTATCTTCTACAGACACAAACTTCATTCTACGAAAGCCAATAGCTTTTGTGACAGATGGGTCTCTTAGCCATCTCAATGGGTAGTCAAAACGATAGCCTTCATGCTTTACGGTCTCTGTCTCAAACTTTTGACCGACATTAGTAAAAAGTTCATCTAATGGTTTAGTTGTAGCAACTCTTGAATTTTCTTTTTCTATTGGAAGCATATTTTATCTAGAATAAAAATGTCGAAAGAAACAGCGTCTATGAGAGAAATACAACACAACCGACAACTCATTGTGCAAGCTCTAAATAAGAACACAACAAACTTTTCAAACTATTCTAAGATATCTGAGTCATTGAAAGAAGGAAACTTAAAACTGACATTAAACCCATTGACAGACGAGTTTCTGTTTCAAGACAGTAAGAACCATACTGTCTGTATAAATCCAACAAAAGGAACTTTAAACGAGAAACCTATATCTGAACTTCTTTTGAAAGCAGATGTTGACAACAAAGCTGACAAAGAGTATGTCATTGAAAAAGTTCAAGAAGAACATGACAGAGCAGATGCAACATATGCAACAAAAGCAGATATTGACAACAAAGCTGACAAAGAGTATGTTGACGATGAGTTAGCATATCTGGCTAGTGCGTTAGTGAAGAAGGCAGATAAGGAATATGTGGATGAAAAAGAAAATGAAATTAAAGAAAGGGTTGAATGGTATAATGAAAGGACAACAAAGATTTTAAAAACTAAAGCTGATACAGGATGGGTTTCAGGATGTTTAGACCTTAAAGCCGACAAAGAAACTGTAGATATGTTGGCACAAACGGTTTCAAGTCATACCAGAGGTTTAATGGAAGATGGACAACAGTTGAAAGAGCTTGAGAAAGGTGTTACAGAGTTAAGGAATACAAAAGCAGACTCGACATGGATAAAAGGATATGTAGATGCAACAAAAGAGTATATTTTCACATGGACAGAAGGAACATACCCACAAAAATATCATAGACATAGCATCTCTGACGTAAATGAACTTGAAGAAAAGTTATATAAAAAAGCAGACAAAACAGAGCTTCAAACATTAAAGACAGAAATACTTCAAACATTATATCCTATAGGTTCTATTTATACGTCAATGAACTCTACCAGACCAGAAGTAGTACTTGGTTTTGGAACTTGGACTCAAATAGTCGACAGGTTTTTGTATTGTGCAAACTCTTCAAAGGAAACAGGTGGAAGTAAAACGATTTCAGGTGAAAACCTACCTGCACACAGTCACTACATAAATTTAACTACAGCTGAAGCAGGTTGGCATAAGCATAGATATTGGGATTGGACAGGAATGACAAAAGGTAAAGGATATGATGTTAAAGACGACGTTAAGTTTGCTATAAATTGTTACTGGATGACACTCAGGGAGAGGAAGCCATACACATCGCATTACAGGATATTCGGAAACAACGGGACAGAGTAAAGACTACATGCCACCTTACATGACAGTTTACGCATGGTATAGAATTGCTTAGTCGTCATTTTCAACTTCTTTAAGCATATTCGTCAGGAGTTGTCTTATATTTGTAGGAACTGTCTTTGAAAGTATAACCACCTTGAACCTTAACAAGTTTGAAACGAGGTCTGACAATAGTAGTTTTATCTTCTGCTTGCAGTCTGTACATTTTGCCATGTTTGCCTAAAACTTCATAATATTCTCTTGTATACTTTCTTCTATTTTTACGAACACGAATGTGAGTACCTGTCGGTTCCCATTGTTGTCATAGTCAATAGTATTTTCATATGGGTCGCGTTTAGGTATTTCTATTTTTACTTTGTCACCTTTCTTAAGTTTGAAGCCTGGCATTCTTTCTTGTTTGTCTCTTTTGACTAAACTATTAAATATATAGTCTTTCTCTAAGTCGGGGTTGTTTTTCATTTCTTCGGGGAGTGGTTTCCCAAACCTTTTTGTTTACGGGTATTGTAAATATTTAAAACTTGTCTCATCTTTGCCATGGAGAAATGTCTATATTTGTCGTCATATGACATTTCATCTACCTCACCACCTTGTGGTTGATTTAAATCTCTTAAGATTTTTATACAACTGTCAATGACACCAAGAGCAGAATGGTTTTGGTCGACAATGAAATATTGGTTTACATTTTTTGAACGCAGATAGTTTTTAATATCGTCTGATTTGA